TAATAAGTAATATCCCAATAATCTTCGATATTTCGTGCGCTAGATAAATATGTACAGAAATACTGGAATAAATGCAGCTGACAAATTGATAAAATGATGATAAAATATCCAATGTATATAACAATGGATTGAGAGATGTTAAATCACTTGAACTTGTGACTACAATTTTGACTCATTTCACATTTATTAGTGGAAACTAATTTCTAAAGATTATAAAAATCAATGATATGTTAATATAAACTTGGAAATTTTATGAATAACTTAAAGATATTTTTCCTGTTAAATATTTTATGCATATATATTTATTTATCGAGTTTTCTATTTTATACAGACAAATCATAAATTTATTTTTAAAAATTTTAGATGTTTCTAAAATAAATTTTTAGATATTCAAGACTTTCAAAAGCTTCAAAACATTCATTTTCAAAATTTTTACAAATAGTTTCGATTCCGAAATAATATTCGAAACCATTGAATTGTATTTATTATACAACTAAATTGTTTGGAAGCATTCAAAAGGAGAATACTCGATTACTACCGATAGATCTGAGATATCCTACATCGATCACCGTGAGAAGCATTCATCATGGAAAGTACGTTTCGAGAAAGATGATCGTGAGAAAATGTTAGCCGGCAATAAAATAATACTGATCTATTTTGTTGTGTCTACGAGAAAGAGTTATAAAACGAAACAACAAACGCAGAGACAGTAATCATTTAATGACAGCGGAAAGCGTCGTTGTAACGAAAGTTAATGGAAACTAATAGGAAATTAACTAACTTCCAATTATGCGTCTCATGAAAATAGCATATCGAGACATCGAGTCGCAATGTCGTAATGGTGTCATGCGTTTTCCATTAATTCGCAACGTGATCGAAGCGAGCGCAAATTGGTACATATGTAATTAAGTTTAGCGTTTCATGCGTATGAAGAAATCGACTCTCAGATGTTTATATCTATCCTCAGTTATTAGTGAGTATTCATATCTATGACGTCAGAAATTTGAATGAAAAATTTACGCTTTTGAAGATGGCAATTAGTATCAGTATAAGCGTGAAGAGTTGCACCAATTTTAGCGCGCTCGGGGCATATGCACAATTTAGAATCACATAATTCATATTATTATATATATATATATATATATATATATATAGCTTTTTAATTTTATTACTTGTAACTGAGTAATTATTGCCCAATCTTACTTCATATAAATTCTTAAACATTAATGCATTATTACTTTAAAATCTCTACGCGAAGCATTGCTATGAATTGTATAAATTTATGTATAATTATATATAAATTTATGAAATTAATTACGAACACACATATACAGTTTGACAGAGAGTTTGACATTGAAGCTTACAATACGACAAAGTTCAGAAAGAAATTTATCATATTTTTACATCAGTACAATTTTATCATTATTTCACTAGTATTAATTTTCATCCGAGCTCGAAAAACGTTTGATAGCATTTGAATGGATAATCGCTTTATTATGAATATCAGTGATACAATATTGATTAAAAATTACTGAAATACTGTGTTGGTACTTAATCGCTGCTCGCGCTATAATTTATCCCAATCTAGACTCGGTAGACCGCGCCAGTCTGGAACGTAAAAAAGACTCGAATAACCGCGATCGCACGTCTACTTTTTAATCCCGCGCGAGACGTAGAAATCCGCTCTTCTTCCCTGCTTCCTTTTTTTGCTACGTCGTACAATTGCGTCAATACTGCGATGCGTAAGAGAGAACAGTCGAAGAAGACCGCAGCTCTTTTTTTCTCTTCTTCATCATCGACCTCCACGACGCGGGCTCCTATTCTTTCGAAATAGCGTGATCGCGTGCGTCGCGAGGTCGAGGAAGAGAGCGGAGCAGGTAGAGCACACGTTTCTGTTTCTGTACTATCTCTTACATATATCGTTCTTCAATATCTCGCGAGATACTTCCGCGATACGCTGTCGAAATCTGGTCTGGAGTTCGCGCCGTCGGATTACTCGGCTAGTTCCCAGAAAATTAATAATACAGACAAGCCAAGTAAAAGCCTATTAATAAATGTAATGTTTGAATGACAAAAATATAAAATAAATTCAAATGAATCACACTTTAATACTAGAGTGGCAAAAGAAGTAATATTAAAAGAGGTAACTTGGGTAGATGGCAAAAATATATAATAAATTTCAAATAAATTGTATTTAATTTTTAACTGTCCTTTTTTAGAGAAAAAAAAATCTGCATTCAAGGAGCACCGCCAATTGGAGGCTGGGACCTCGAAATATAAAGATTTAGACGCATTTGATAAAATCTGGAGGACGCTGAGATCATTAGAATTAATTGCGGAAAATCGCTTCTCTTCGATCCTTCCAATTATTTCCCGACGCTGTGGGCAAACAGACATGCATGGAATTCGATGCACTTCGGGATTCACATTGCACTAATTCCAAGAGAGAAAGAAGGAGAAAGAGATTTCTCTAAGAGATGAATCTCATCTCTAGCGAAACATGAGCAACAAAACAGATAGATGCACCGATAGCGTGCCGTAGATCAGAATATACTAGAAAGAAGAATCAATAACTAATGAGATTCCTCTTAGAGAACAGAGTAAATCATCACGTTCCAATACCGTGTCATTTCACCCCAAATTGAAATCTTTTTTTATTTTTACTTTAATTAAAATTTTTACACCTTTTTTACTTTGATACGTTGAATTCATGATTATTTGCAATTTTAAATTTATTTGCAATTTTATGTCTAATTTGCATCTGATTTTTCCGGAATGTATCTATTTAAATTCAGATACTGTGAAGCGTTGTACACGCATGCGAACGCACAGACGGCTGCATTTCTTTCAATATATACTATTTGTTCATTTTGCACACCGAATCTGCCGAGTCTCACGTAATGTCGAAGCATGCAAGCATTTCAGGTACGATTTCTTAATACGGATCCGAAGTTCAGCCGCTCTATCTCTCTGGGAATCTAGACGAGCACGTACGGCATCTTTCTCTCCATTATGAGGCGAGTGCCTATTGGGATGCGATCATCGCTTCGTCTACGGCAACCTACGGTGACCTAAGGTAGATCGTTAACCGACGAGTTACGTGCCAATCGGTAATACCCTGACGATTTCAAATGCACTTCGCTACGCGCATCTGAGCATAGTTCTATTTTATGGTACTGTTTATGGTGCTGAGCCACGTCGGAGTCACATAATTATATGGATGCGTAACATTCTCGCGAAGGATTACACGGATGTGAGCTTGAAATCGTTTTAGCTCAGTCTTTTATAATTTGTCTTGCGTAATCATCGAAACTTCGACTAACCGGATCTGATTCTCGGCCATATAATTATCCGAATATCCAGACGGTCTAAATAAAAAAAGCGCTGATGAGAACGCTTGACGAGATAATAGCTCTCATTAATATTGCTGTAACCAACAGCAGAGGAAGATAAACTTTACATCACACGTTTAACACTATGTTCCTATGTACGGGAGATCATCCCAGATTGCTCAGGCACCCAATTCCCGACCTAGCACACATGTGCACACGCACAAATCATCGTACATGCACGCATGATATCGACTCATGAGATCCGGAGATGTTCTCCACGCGACGATTGCGCAAGCGCTCGAGTTGCGGTGCGCTGCATTACTCTTTGTAAGTCGCAGCAGCGTCGCCGACGACGACGACGACGACGATGACGGTGATCGCGACCCCGCAGGTATAATTCCCGCGCTGAAAGAGCCGATATAATTACAAGGGAGAAACGCAAGGCGAGTGCATGCCGGCCGCGTCATCGGCTCGACTGCTTTTCCACGCTTTCTCGCTGCTTCCCTCTTCATCCTCTGGCTGCACCGAAGATGAACCAAATAGAGTGCTTCGATTAATTTGAAAAAAATTTGGAGGAAATCTCGATTGAGACTGCTAATTTCTATTATTTATAAATAAGAAGTGATTTTAAATAATACTGTTTAATCAATAATTCACCTGTAACGAAAGTGAAATATGTTTCAAGCGGCCAATAACAGTATCATCTGACTCGCTTTGCTTTTACAGCTCATTGCCTCGATCGCATCGCTTCGCTTTCATGCCGATCCCATTGGCCGACCTTCAGATCTGTCCGGAGATGCCTGCCCCGATCTGTATCAACATGATATTTCGCAATCACCCCTCATCTTAGCTCGACGAGGTTCATCTCGACAGAAGCCTCCTCTGCCATTGCCGCCTCCTCCGACGGCCCTCCCCCACTGTGCACTTTTCATCCGATAGCTTCGGGATCTTCTTTTCTCTCTTCCTCTCCTCTCGGCACCTTTCGTCAACGAGGATTCGCCGGGCGAATCTTCGAGGAACGCATCACCGGGTTATCTCTAGCCGTGGTGCCATCCGCGACTCCTCATTGGCGAGTGGGAGGAAGACGATCCTCGTGCGGGATCAGTATATAAGAATGCTAGATCCGACTTGATCTGTGCAGACCAATTATCGTCGTTAGTTTGACGATACACGATTTAAATTCCGTAGTAACGCGACGCAGTAAACATCACTGGGATTTATTTGACGAGCATACGCACAACCAGCGAAATGAAACCGGTACATATGAGTCATACATGGGGTTGTAAATCTCCCTGTATTTTCGAAATCTCAAAATCTAGGATGAATCTCTGATTTCTTATTCGATCGCGATAATAAAAAAATAAACGAATATTTCATTGCCGATTATTTTCCAAACATCGCGTGATTTCAATCCCGTGTACGGACGTGTCTGAGAAGAAAAAAATGAAATTTGTTTCTGTTTGCCTAATATTTCATTTATTATATTATACAATTGTACTTTTTGAATTTTGTTGGATTTAATTAATTTGTATTGTTTTAGCAGGTCGTCATTGCGGTATTGGCCATCATTGGTACATGTTATGCTGCGAGATTGGACAGCACTTACCTCCCTCCTGGTAGTGCCGGAAGTGCGGGTGGAGCGGGATTGATTCATCCTCCATCCCCAGAACAAGGTGGAGGTGGACCCATTAAACACAGTGGTCCAATTGGTTTTGGTGGTCCAAGTGGTTCAGGTGGTCTTAGTGGTCCAAGTGCTTCTAGTGGTTTTGGTGGTCCTAGTAGTTCTGGTGGCTATGGTGCTCCAAGTGGATTTGGTTCCGGGAGTATTGGTAACGCTTTTACAGGTGGTAAGTTTAAAGCAAAGAAATAATTACTTTGTCCTGTGTATTATTACACAAATCTCTGTTATAATTATTAAACGATTAAACGATTAAAATTTATTGAACGATATAACGAACGATCGAAATTTATTAAGAATAAAAATTATTAATTATTTATTAAGAATAAAAAATTAATTATTTATTAAGAATTAAAAATTATTTATTAAGAATAAAAAAATCTCCGATTTCTTAATAAATAAATATCTTCTTTTAGAAATAATTGCATCATGACTTTTTTGAAAACTAATTAATTTTTTTCAGAAAGCAGTTTAGTTATATAATTCTTAACATTTTATTTCGCATTTTAGGTAGTAGACCGAGTGGCGGTCAAGAAATACCTATCATTTCTTACAGCAATGAGAATGTTGGTGACGGAAACTATCAATACAGCTATGAGAGCGGAAATGGTATTAGCGTACAAGAAACGGGTCATCGACAAGGTATAGAAATTGCATTTTTATTTTTCAATTAAATTATTTAATTAAATCACTCCGCTGAAGCAGTTGTATTTTATTTTCAAACTCCATTGAATCAATTTTAATAAATTTTTAATAAATGATAGCTAAATAATATACCTCTGAAATCGTGGAAGTGCCTCGTCGCAATGTAATTGATTCATTGATGCTAGAAGAGCATCGTTGCATTAGAATGTGAACATTTCGATCTTACAGGAGAATCCGAGGTAGTAAGCGGATCCTTTTCTTATACCGGAGCCGATGGTATGCAATATTCGGTCACATATACGGCGGACGAATACGGTTTCCATCCCCAAGGTGCCCACTTGCCAACGCCGCCTCCGATTCCGCCGGAAATTCAACGAGGTGTTGAACTAGCGCTTGCCGCCGAAGCCAGAGGAGAGAATCAGGACGGTGGTGCTGGAGGGTATTCACATGGAGGAGGTAGTGGGTATCCTAGTGGAGGTATGAAATTTCGAACATAATCAATTGAATATAACAAATTGAAACGAATAATCATATATATTTAAATATTTTACGCGTATAATCTATTTATCCCGTAATTTCAGTGGGTGGTCATGGTAGTCATGAAGGCAGTGTGTATCAGGGACCGAGCTCATATCAGACAAGTTCAGATGGTGGCTATCGATACTGAGCAGCGATTTGGCGAGAATCATCTATCATGTGCATTCCGTACACGCATATCATTTTCTGTTTATTCGGCTTATGTACATAACAATATCATTTACGCAATTTTTTCATTTATATGAAGTATGATTTTTATTTATGAAACGCCTGCTCTAACTTTTTCTTCTTGAAATTGCTTTTGTGCAATGAAATTTAAGCATCTCTTTCAGGTACTACAGTGATTTCGAAAAATGTGTATTTGTAATATACATATGATATGATTATGTAAGAATTTAACAACTGCAATACGCAATTATTTTTACACGTTTAATATGTACATTATAAGCATATATTAATTTTGAAAAATGTACATTTAATATTTGAATAAATGAATGGTATATTAACATTGTGAAATATATATCATATAAATTGCTTTACATATATATATATATATATATATATATACATATATATAATTATTTAATTATTATTATATTAATAATATATTAATTATTATTTTCTTCCTTATCTGTTATGTCTATATAAATGTAAATATATATGTTTTACTAATAAATATACAATAGTATCTGTAATTAAAAATTTAATTACTATTGCTAATAATTACAAAGACAATTATAATTAAATTATTTTAGTAACTTAAACTAACAATATATAATATTTGATTAACATTAAATTACATATATATATATATATATACTAACTATTTCATGAAATAAAATTATGTTATAATTAGTCAGATTTACTTAATAATATTTAAATATATTTTTGCATCCAATAAGACGCATTTAATTTATACTATTTCTTGATGACTAGTAATAGTTGGAGATACATCAGACTCAACCATTTCAGCTCCTCTTGCAAATTGAATAAAGAGTTGTTCTAGAGTTGCAGACAAAACGGCATAATCTTCAATGCAGTTATATCTTTGTTTCAGATTCTTCATTGTATCATACATTTTTTCCCATGTTGTATTAGAATCAGTTACATGATAGGCAAGAAAACCCTGTAAAGAATAAATAAAAATCAATTAACAAAATAAAAAAAGAGAAAAAGCAATTAGATATTAATTAGATATTAAAGATATCAAAAAGCAATTGTTACCAAGTTTTCATCTCTGATGTCGCATGTTAGAGTAGATTGAATAATATTCTTAATAGTATTAACATCCTCATCTTTTCGACTTGGATTTAATTTTACATGAATATCATAACCTGCTCCAAATCGTTGCTTCAATTCTTGACTTGCACCAATACAGACTAATTCACCCTTGACCATAATGACTAGTCTATTACAAAGAGCCTCACACTCTTCCATGCTGTTGAATAACGTAATTTTAATAAAATGAATTTAACAAAATGAATAAATAATTTAAATCTTAATGCTAATATTTTACTTCAAATATATAGGTTTTAAATTATATATTGATATAAGCCGAGTATATGTTAACAACGAGAAACAACAACGAGAAACATAGCCAATTCCTCGGCAAGCAAAGTCTTGTTAAATCTTTTATATGACATAAATTCAAATAATTATATTATCAACTATCTGCCACTTAATTTTAGCAAACTTTCAACGTAGTGATTCTATAATGTTTCTCATTGTTGTTTATTAACATGTACCCAGCTTATATCAATGTATAGTTTATTCTTATATCATCTGAAAAAGACGTTCAATACATTATTTATCTAAGTATTGCGATAAATATTATTATAGCCTCTATGATGTAATAGATGTATAGATAAGATGCCTGCCCGGAGAGCAGACAATCCAGGTTCGATCCCTGACTAATATTTTTCGCAATATATATTTTCTGTGGGGGAGAGAGAGATAATAAAAAGGGAGATTTTAATCGATATAAAAATATTTGATTATCAAATTATTATAGAACTACTACATGGAAAGTCTATTAAAATTAAGTGACACATAATTGGTAATATAATTATTTAAATTTATTTCATATAAAAGATTTAGCAATCAACGCCCTACTTGCCGAGGAATTGGCTATGTTTCTCGTTGTTATATAGGTTTTAATAAATACCTGTGAGACGTGAGTATAATAGCTTGCCCTCCTGCTTGACAGGACTGCAGAGTATTCCAAAGCGATCTTCTAGCTGCAGGATCGACACCAGTTGTAGGTTCATCCAAGAGCACAAGAGTAGGATTACCGATAAGAGCCATCGCAATATTTAAACGTCTTTTATTACCACCACTATAAGTACTGCTTGGCTGTTTCATACAAGCAGTTAAATCTGAAATATATTGTATATTATATATACTATATATATATATATATATATTCTTTTTAAAAACTTATTGTAATTTATTTACTCAATCTATTAATCCATTTATTAACTTCCAATTCCACATTGGATTTTGGTATGCCGCGAAGACGGGCAAACAATCGTAAATGGTCAAAAGTGTTTAAGGATGGTATCAAAGCATCAGTTTGTGGACAATATCCCATCTCAGAAAGATACTAAAACAGAAAAAAAATTATCTAATATTGTAAACAATATTGAAGAATAAAATTACTATGCATTATTACATTTGTCCTATCTGAATGAATTTCTGCTTGCTTTAAGTACATTATGCCACTATTAGACATTTCTTCTCCAGTTAGCATTCTAAAAGTTGTACTCTTTCCAGCACCATTTACGCCAAGTAATCCAAAACATTCCCGTGGTTTCACTCGAAAACTGATTTCTTTCACGGCCATCAGTTTCCCATAATATTTACTTAATTCATATACCAGAAAGAGACTATTATTCTCGCTTATCGGACTTTGTAATAGTTCAGAATTAGTAGTGTCTGCATTAATAGCATCTATTTTCAATATTTCTTTTGCAGAATTTACATCTGTAAAGTCATATGATTAGCCTTTACTATGTACAATTATTTTATAAAACTCATAAATTCGGTTATTTACGCGCATCTGATTCTTATACGTCATTAAAATACTAAAAATGATTTCTTACTCTGACTATTAATTTTATTAATTTCTAATGCTACTGCAAGTTTTTCTTTCTTCACTTGATCATCCATTATATCTTGTTCTTTCCTTAATTTTGAACCAACTATCTTTCCAAATAATTTCGGAAAGATCTTTTCTTCTAACATAATCAATAAACCAAAATACAAAATTGGTGTTACAGCAAGATATACTATACTTTCTTCGAAATTCATATCTTCTGTAAAGTCATTAAAGTAAGGCAATGGGTTTTTGCAATCTCCGTCTATACATTCCATATCTAGAAGAATTATGATGAAAGTAAATTATAAATTCTGTAACTGTTAATAATAATTCAAAATGACATTCAATATAAATATTGTATTATCTTACCACAACATGGATCTTTGATCTTTGCAAAACAAACTACTTCTTGAAGTTTATTTGGTAGACGACGACATCTTGCATTTTGTACTGCTATTTTGAAGAAAGAGAATTGACCATGAAACAAACTTACATAAGGAATTAGGCGGAAAAGTCTCTTCTGCAGAATATGTAGCGGATTGAGCCAGTCAAAATTGTGTATTACTTCATGTACAAGATACTGTATTACAACTGAAATATTTTTTTAAATTTATTGCTTTTTGTAAGTAATAATTTACTTGCATTTTTTAAATGCATTAAATTTAGTTCATTTAATATATTTATCAAAAATTATAATATTTATAAAAAATTACAACTTACCAAGACCAAGTGGTGCAATACCCAAAATTGTTGTTATAGTATTTCTTGATTTATTCATAAAACTAAATAGATATACAATAAGTAAAACGTTGATACCAAATAATTGTAACATCAATATCATACATACTGAAAGAAAAGTATAAATAAATAAAAAGATTAATTTATACTAATATTAAATATAACTTAAATTAAGAACTTACATATTTCTACTCTATAATATAGACGAATATCAAGAATAACATCCATGATGTAAAGTGCTAAAGTAACTAGCAATACGCATACTGTAAATATCAGAAGATCAAAAGCAAACATTGTACTCCAGTATGATAATGATGTAACACCAGTCATACGTTGAAGTTGTTTGACTTTTGTCATTGTTTCTTGTAAAGGATGTATTACAAAAAGTGCTATAGTGGGGAAGAAAAATGAACAAAATATCATGACACGCGAAATTGATTCCGCATCCGGTGATTCCATTCTAGTTGAAAATAACGTATTTGGTAATTGTTGTCTAGATACAACAATTGAATGTTCATTGCCAGCAAAAGCTTTAATAAATGAATTGCTCAAAAGATTTACTGTCAATGGCACACTGTGAAGCGCTAAACTAGAGAAAAAACCATTAGCTAATATCGTATTGTTTTCAGTGGTATTAAATTCGGCGGATACAATAAGATTGTTCCGATATTTTACAATATCCTCCAAAGAAGAATTTAGAAGAGCTAAAAAAAATAATAAAGATAAAGAAAAACTAGACTTATTTAGATAAATTCTTTACATTATTAATAGAAAATTATATTTACCACTTGTAACACTCATATGTGGAGTTACTTGTTCCACTTCGCCGTAATATTGGACAACATCTTTGTATTTTTGGCCAAGCTGATCGTCATCTGATGAATATAAAGCTTTAGGATATCTATACATACCAAGATTTAATGGAACAATATCTGTAGAGTCACTTGGTACATTATAACTTAATGCCATTAAAACTACTGACAAGATAGGAAGAAATAGCTGAAAATATTAATGATATATTAACAAATAGAAGAAATTTTTTTATTTTTAAAATATAAAAAAACATAAAATTGATAGAAATTATCTTTCTTAATTAATAAAATAATTATTATAAAGAAATACGTACTATCATCAATAAGTTAGTCAGATTTTTTCTGGTATATGTGAATTTCTTGCAAAATAATGCTAATATTGATTGCATATATAGTTCATGGCCTGTAATTTTCGGTAATGGTGCTGTAAATAATTCGTTAAGATGTTTTCCGTTATCTTCTTTCTTTATAATTCTATAACAAATAGACAAAATAAGAATATATCAATAATAATATAAGATATATAATAATAATATAATTAAAATAATAATAAATAATAATATAAAATAAATTTCTACAAACTTACTTTAAAAATACTTGTTCTAAAGTAATCAATGACACACTTATCCCAGTAACTCCTAATTTTTTCTTTTCATTCTCTACTTTGTCCAATGATTGTGGTAGAGAATCGGTAAATGGTACATTTAAAACAATCTTTTCGCTATCAACACTAAGCTGTTGCGTTCTTGAATCAAATTTGCTTATGATTTTTTCAGGAGAACACCAAGATTTTGTTGATAATGTAACTTCAATATGTCCATGACCTATAAAAAAATTGTATTTTAAATATACAAGGTATTTTTTTAACCAATTTTAAAATAATTTAAATATACAAGGTATCTTTTTTAACCAGTCTAGCCTAAAATATCTTAACAATTGAATCTAAGCAAAAATACTTTAGACAAAATTTATAGAGAATAGAATACTGGCAATGTTCAATAAGACAAAGTTTCTGATATCTAGACATTTTTTTAATTTTTTTGAATGTTTATATATAAATTTAAAATAATTCCTTATGTCACCATTATTTTTAATGAATTTTAAATGTAGCGATTTCAAACTTTCATAAAGTATTTGACAAAATATATCAAAATAAAGTATAAATTAACTTAATTAATTTCTAAATATAATTATATAATAGCTTTTTCTAAAAAATAAACTATGTTGATATATTCAACAAAGGTTATATAAAGGTATAAGGTTTAAAAAAATAAAAGTGACCTTAAAATAATCTTGAAAAAATCATTTTTAAAAAATTAAAAATTATCTTTTTTTTTCTTCTAAACTTTTCTATAAATTTTGTTTACCATGTTCAGCTTTCAAACAAACTGTTGAAAATGATACATCTTGTAGATGTCATGTTTAAAAATAAATAAACACGCGATCATACCATATTGTTTCTTCAAAAACATTGGAGTGCCATAACTTCTAAGACGACCTGTATGCAGTATAGCAATTCTATCACCAAGTATATCAGCCTCTTCCATATTATGCGTACTAATCAATATTGTTTTCTCTCCTCTAAGTTTCTATTAAAAAATATCAACAGTATTATATATATAAATGTGTAACATCTCGTAAAGCATACAAACATTTTTTGAAAAAGTCAAATTTTCTTACTAATATAATATCCCAAGTATCTCTTCTGGTTTCAGGATCCATTCCTGATGTTGGTTCATCCAAAATTATAATCTGGATAAATATAAATTATTTTGAGAAATTAATATAATACAACACATTATATCTCTATTTCAGAACTTACGCTAGCATCGCCAATAAGTGCCATTCCAAGACACAGCCTTCTTTGTTGACCACCAGAAAGTTTGCTAGGAAGAAAATTCTTCTTTTCAGAAAGCTTTAACTTAGAAAGCAAAACGTGAACATCTCTTTGAACTTCGCTTCTGGTTTTATTTTTAGCTTTCAACTGTTATAACATAAAAATTAAATATAGATAATTCACATTATTAATATTATTTTTATTTTACAAGAATTATTATCCTTACCAAACCGAAGAATTCTATTTGTTCAAATACAGTCAAATCTGGGAAAACCATATTTTCTTGGGGACATAAACCCAAATCATTTCTAATACTGCTTAAATATTTTCTTATATTTTTGCCGTTTATAAATACTTTCCCTTCTGTTTCGCTTGTCACACCTTTTAAATAAATATAATTAATATATTCTTAGCGAAATAATTTTTTCATTTAAAACTATTACATAACATACTGTAATACCTGTTAATATAGACATAAGCGTAGTTTTTCCTGCTCCATTATGTCCAAGCAGAGCAGTAATTTGTCCTTTGTAAAAATCTACAGATACTCCTTTTAATGCATGGACTTTCTGGAATAATATACAATTAATTTTCATAAAATATTCTTTATCACACAAAATAATCTTTATCAGAATTTTAATAAAATAGATGCCTTTTATGTAAACTCACGGATTTTCGTAAATAGCTCATTGTATAAGACTTCTTAAGATTACGTATTTGTATTCCGGGCGTTAACACACCACCTAACACTGGCTCAAAATCTTCATTAACCTTATCATAATCAAATTCACCAGCTTCTTCATCAAGAGCTATCTTGTTCTTTTTGACACACTGTAATAAAGTATGATATAAAACTATTATAGACTTATAAACACATATAATATTTTTCTTTTACTCCATTAATGATCCTTGCATAAATTTACCTTCAAAAAATATAATGGAGTTTTCCGGACTCCATATTTGCCAGGAAGTATAGCATTTATATATACTGCAAGTGTAAAATGTATCACAGCACCCAAGATTGAAAAGAGAAATATAAAACCTGGACTTCCTACAATACCATATTCTACTTTCCCAGGAACAAAAAAATTACTCCATTGAATACCAAGTACTAAAAAAAAAAGAAAAATGTTTTGTTCTTTTGCTTGCCAAAAACAATACATGTCATATGTGTACATACATATATGTATACATATCCTTTATAGTTTAATATTCATTTTAAAGTTTTTTTTCTAGCTATTAATATAATCAATTGATATAAATAACTTGAAAATTATTACTTACATTTGGTTTCATGCGCATTTGTTTCCTCAAAAAATCTAAATAGCATAATATTAGGAAATATAATACCAAAATATGGTATAATGCTAAAAACTTCTTCTCTTGCCATGTTTTGGTGAAGTGAAAATGCCGCCATATAAACAATAACTATGATAGTTATCACAAGACGTGCTATAAAAATATTGAGAATTTATATATTTAAATAAATTAAATAAATTATCTTTTTTATAAAAAGATACATACGTTTTGAAAAATATGCTGCAATATGCATGCCAAATGTTATAAGATGAGCGACATATGTACTAAATAAGAACCAAAATATAAACCCATTTCCATATTCCAAATAAGCTTCAACATTGCTAGAAAAAGTGTGCTTAAATAATATAAGTATCGGTAATATATAAAAATTGCTGAATACTATTCCTGTAATTAACCAGCTAAATAAATTATAGGCTGATTTGACTCCATTCATTGCCATTAAAACCTGAGAATAATAAAACAGATAATTATTTTTTAGTGTCTAAGAATCTGTAAGAAATAGAAAGAAATAATATTATACTAACGTTTACACCAATAAACTTCTCTTTTGATGCATAGCTAACTTCTACGCAAAGTGGAATTACAAAGATTATAACTGCAAATAAACTAATTGCTTCACGTAATGCTATATCAAGATCATCTATTTTGACATATGGTGGGTAAGGCATTCTTTGTAGTGACATCTAATAACAAATATATAAGAAAATGATAAAAAAATAATCCCATCATATTACAATGATATATTATCCATTTATCTGTCTCAACATACGCATAAATATTTATATTTTTCAAAAGTTTTTATTTTGATAATAAAGTATTTATTATTAATAAGATACATTAATATATTTTCTTTAAAAAAGCTTATAATACCTTTATATTTGACATAGAACCTGGAACTGTTTGGTTTATGAGTGCTCCATCTACGCAAATCTGAACTTGCGCAAATGGTATCATATCAAAATATATTGTAGGTGATGAAGATATATGTTCACCATGTAATATATTTTGATACAAAGCATATGGAATCTTCCAAGAATGTCTAATTTTATACTTTATGGTAGGTTTGTTGTATTGTTCAAAAACAACTGCTACTACAGAAATTATTGGATCTTTCGCTTGAGCAAGAGTATAAGTGTTTACCATTTCAGTCTCGTTAGCAAAGCCTATCACATCTGTATAAAAACAGGAAAAAATATAATTAGTATTATTTAAACAATCTTAGTTATATTTTTTAATGCCATTTAATGCCATTTTAAATAGTACTTACTATCAGCTAAGAGTGTAAGACATTTTCTAGCAGAATCCATGATCTTCTCTGTATATGTATTTTTTGGCAAATAATATATCTTGACTAAACCATTATCAAGTTTCCACATTAGTTCATCTTGCGTATATATAGGATAATAAGTGCTTTCATTTACTACGGCTGGAGGCTGAACACTATAATCTCTTACTGCTTGCAATAATGCAAATAATCCAATGGGTATTAAAGTTTGCAATAATAGTGTCATCCGCCAATGTCTTTTACGTACTATCAGGTCCTTATATAGTAACAAGCCAAAAACTTTCCATCCACTAGCCATTTTTATTATAATTTAGTAGAAAATCTTTATAAGAATTTACTGGTGGACTATATTATTTAAATATCTGCAAATACTCTATATGCTAGTTTGCCATTGAAAGTACAAAGCTTCTTGAATAAGTAATTAGAATTGACGCATATGTTGGTTCCAACTTGAAGCATATCATATAAATGTACTGTGTATAGCCTTGGTCATCAAAATGTTGAAATGTTCAGTATAATTTGCAATACTGCATAAAAAGTGTTATTTCTTGTTGCTTCCTTAAATATAAAGATAATAAAGTTCTATCTTTATTATCATTGTCATAACAAATTTTATCTAAACAAATATAAATGATAACTTATTATGTTGTATAACACGAATCAAGATGAAGTTTATAGATAGGATTAGCGAAATTAAGAGAAGAATCATGATACATTTTATTAAAATTAAATAACTCAAAAAGGATTTGAGGATTTGATAACTAATTTTTATTACATATTTCCATGTATATATTTAGATATTTCTTATCTTTCTTGATACCAATACTAATAAATTTAGCTTAATTGATTTATTTTTATGATATATACTCAAACATACACATGTCATATTATTTAAATAGAAAATTAGAATCTTCTCTCTAAATATACATATGCTAAAATTCGTTAGGCTTCTCGATAATCATAAATAATTATTTAGTTGTATATATACATACATGTGTGTGTGTGTGTGTGTGTGTGTGTGTGTGTGTGTAGTGTGTGTGTGTGTGTGTGTGTGTGTGACAAGAAAAAAAAATGAAAAGAATGGAAAAACTATTTTTGCAAAGATTTATGCTTGTTGATAAGCAGGTAAATGTGGTATTCTTCTGTTTATAAAAATATATAAATATATATTATATAAAATTATGAAATATTCAAAAAGTTACAAGTAGATTTATATTTTCAAAAAAATTATTCTAATATAAATTATTCAGTACATTTTTCAAATAAGATAAATTTATAAAGTTAAATATAGACAGATAATAGTTGTTGTCATTCTAAATATTAAAAATTATAAATGTATGTGTGTAAAAATATATATATATATATTACTATATGGAAAATTTCCAACAATTCGTTTCTGATCAATAACAGACTACACCCTCTTTCGAAAATTTGACCCGCTAAAATTCAATTGCAAAAAATCCGAAACGAATATTACATAACATTTGACTGTGTTTATTTGAACACGTCAAATAGAACACAGAATAGTGCCCGAGTATTATATGACAAATTAATCTAACTTATTTGCGTGTGCGAACATACGTAATTGTCAAACATTCGATTCAGCGAAAGAGCATGTTTGTAATATATGTCAGAATGTAATGTATGTCAAACACAATTTATTTAACTTTTATATTCTTATCATTTCGGATACAAGAAAAGATAAGATAAACGAAGTTTTCAACGTGTGATAATGAAATGATAATTATTTATATATATATATATATATATATATAAGCGTACTCACGAGAGAACCGTCACATTTCAGTGACGCTATGATAGAATCTTTCAAAAATATATCTGGTAGCGGAATTGTTATGTGCCTTATAAAGCTTCATCTTATCACATTATCAAAGCTGATAACGGTAAATTGAATTTTTTTAGCATATACTATGTGCACACTTCTCACTCAACGCGTCGCGTTCACATCGCGTAACCAACATCAATGCGTTGCTAACAGTTGCCAACAATCGACTAATTGCGTGACAGCAATGTGCGTGACGTCACTCCGTGAGAGGGATTAATGTCAAGATGCAGGAGTGGTAACGTGGTAGACAGAAAACTACAACCGTCAGCGCCTTTGATTCTGGATATCCTACATATATATGTAGATATTTACCAAGAAGCTACATCTAGAGAGAAAACTACATCGTCACACCTTCAATTCTGCGTATCCAACATATATATGTAGATATTTACCAAGAAGCTACACCTGCGTCAGATATTCAACACAGAGTGAATCTGAGAGAAAAAGGAAACTCGAAATCTCATTAAAAAACATTAATTATTGAGTCACGTTCAGTTACTATAATGACAGCTAATATGATTGCTTAAAATGAGAAGTGATATGATAAACGATAAAAGAAGTAGGATATTAAAAGTTTTAGGATTAGCTTGTAGGTTAAGAATCACTAGATCAGCTGATATAATATTCCATTAAGTGAAATGGGAATTAATTTAATTATGTAGATAAACAATTCTCTTTTATCATAGCATTTATATAACATTTTTTGTGATAGCTATCAGATGACTAAGACAGTGTATTTATATTCGCAGATATACACTATATTATATTACGTAGTCGAATTCACGAAACTTTCCAATAAGTAACATGATTATGATTTTTAGATTTTTTATGTTTGTGAAATTTTGGTTCTATTCTGTAATATAAAACTAATGATACATAGAAAAATGTAAGCATTAATAAGGTATACAAAGATTGACAATTTTATGATATGGCAGTTAAAATTTGAATTATTAGCTTATTAAAATTATTTTATGATTTATTATCCTGATTAGACATATATTTATTTATAATTTAGTAATATTTGAGAATGAGATGTTGAATAATGTAAGAATATAGATGTTGAGTAATGTAAATCGGTGGTATAGTACAGAGATATGCCATATGTGGACATTGAACTATATAGTCATATTTACAGAAACTACTCCAAAGATAATACAATTATGTCGGACTTTCTGATTGTATTTTATTGTGTTCATGATTTTCTGGTTTTGTTCCATGCTATATTCACAAAATATACAGAACAGAACCAAAAAATTGTGGACATAACGGAACACAGCCAAAAAATCATAGACATAATACCGAACACAATTGGGAATATAGCCATTTTATCTTTCATAGATTGGAATTGCGTTTCATTTAATACATTGTCTACATTAGAGAAGACCATCGCATACAAAATGATCATATATGTATAATATAAGATCCTCTGGACCAATCAGTATGCTATGTAAATCAATATGGCAACTTTATATTGAAAGTTCATTGATTCAGACAAGCTTATATTATGCATGTCATTTTGTATATGATCTTTAAACCTTAAAATTCCTATCACTACAGTCATACTGGAATTATGTCATGCAAAAAATGAAATTTATTGCGCGTAATTTGTAAATACATATGAATAAAACGAAATGGCTTTGATATTTGTAAAAAATAGATGATTACTATCCTTTTCCCTCTTGACAGTCAATAAATAACCATAAAATATAATATGTAATAATCTTTGCAGAAGATATCTTAACAATAATTATAATATTGAAACTTTATTGAAATATTTGATATATATTTCTATAAGTTAATAAGATATTCTATACAAATCTGGATGCAATCGCTATTAATTTAGTATAATCTGCTCCTTTACTATGGGTTTTCTCTTTTAATTTAGTTCGCAGTATATGTGGAATTGGTACATGTATTCTTGTACCGAGAGGTGTTCCATTGTCGTCTATGAGTACCAGATTGTTGCTGTCAAATTTAGGAACTTTAGGAACTTGTTTTTGCTTCAGTCCTACTAATATACCTTTCTTCTTTTCACCCCTTATTGCGACTAAAATTCTATCTCCTATAATTAAAATATTTATATAATAATGATTGACATGTTTCTGCATATTAAATCTTACCAATATATCCCACTCCAAGTTTGTTGTAAACATGTATACATCGTGGTGGTTTGCCTTCCATCATAGCTAGCTTGCCTATTTCACTGTTATCCACTACTCTCAATCGAGTTAATTTAATTACTTGATTTGCAGATGTTGATGTAAAAATATTCCTGCTTATAATATTTATTGCTGAAGATACTAACATTATTATAATGCTTCAATCTTCTTTTTAAGACAATCTAAAATATGATAGAAATAAAATTATACAAGAGAAAATTTGATAATTAGTCATTGGCAATATACTAAATTAATGCTCATTAAAGGCTATTATATATAACATATCTAAATGTAATGCATATAATATTTTTGATGAAATCTTTAATATATTCTTCTAAATAGAATAAAATCATAGTTGAATATTTATACAATCATTTAAAATATTTATATATTTTTACATTTCAATAATTCCATGTATAACATTCTTGGTGTGTATTAATCCAGTGATCAAATTTGTTATAATATTCATTTCTATCGATAAGTTAATTTTAGTTTTTATTATTTTTTAATTTTTAAAACTAAAAAGAAATAAAAATAAGTTAAATTGAGATCAATTTATATTGACAGAAATATTTGACAAAAATAATTGATAGAAATAAATTATCTACCAATAAAACATAACCTTTTGTTTGACGAAAAATAAATTAATAACGATATTAATCATACAGTTCGAGAAAATTATTTTTTTATTAAATATTTTTAATTATGCTTACTGTAGAATGAAAAATTCTCGCTTAGATAAAAATCTAATTTTGAATTTTAAAGTTTAATCATTATTCTTCTGAGCAACAGAAAATGTGTCACCTAACCTAAGTTTTGTTATAACCTGAAAGTTATCAACGACAAACGAGAGTTTTATTTGTCATCATGAACAAGTTACCTCGTCTGAAAAGAACATTAACGCACTTGCGATCTCTCAATATTCTACGAATAAATTCCTGCTCCGCAAGATGTTTCAGTACGAATAAAGATTCAGAGGAAAAAAGCAACGATTCAAGCCCATCTTTGGAATTCGGTGTCGAGAAAGAGGTTACGCCAACAGAGAACGTTAAAGTAGAATCCGAGACGAAGTTGAGTGGCTTTGCGCGAAGTTATGACAAATTTTCGCACATTGACGATAAAAAGTCAGAAACGCCTCAAACATTTACTTCTTTGATGCGCAATTCTAAATTTGTTGATGTAAATATTTCTTGTAATACATATGATTGTACAAGATAGTTTTCGATAGCTTTTTATTATGTACATAATTTTATTGTATATTTCTTTAGCTGGGTGATCCCGAAGGAAAAGTTGTAACTGGCGAGGTATTTAATGTGATTGGTAATGATTTGTATATCGATTTTGGATGGAAATTTTACTGTGTATGTCGGAAACCTCTCAAGAACGAACAGTATGTATGCTTATTCTTTTAAGTTTCTATTAAACCTGGTCTTTTCTAAAATATTGTTTAATAACATTTAATATAGTTTGTATGTTGAATATTATTTTGAATGTTATTTTAAATATTAATTTTTTCCTTCATTTTAGATACTATGTGAGAGGATCTAAAGTTCGATTGAGAATAAAGGATTTAGAACTTTCCTCCAAATTTTTGGGCGCAGTAAACGATGTAACTCTTCTGGAAGCTGATTGTACTTTAATTGGCTTAATATCATCTCCATTACAAATGGCAGAACAGAAAGCAAGAACAAGAAGGCCATAAATATAAGATGTTTAATAATAATATGATAATGTCTATGTTAAATAAAATTAATATGACATGTATGTGACATGTATATATATATATATATATATTTTTATAGCATGTGAACAACAAATATAAGTAAAAGTTCATAAATATAAGTAATTCGAGAAAATCACATATTAATTTTTTAGTATTAATATTAATTTTTATTGTCAATTTTTTAATTACTTTAACAATATGTAAAATTAACAGAGGATGTAACATTAACAGATATTTACTTAGACATTTATAAATTAGAGGAAAATTATCAATTTAATTCATTTTTAGAAATGGTTTATTTTTGCAAAGTACTAGCTTGTATTTGTTTGGTCACATACTATAGGCTATTGTAAAAACTTTTTCTAACATGTTTTCTTATTGCATATACAAGCATTTATTACATATAATTATTTACAATAATTTAAAGTATTGTTACTTTTGATATAATTATTGAAGCACACATGAATGATATTCACGTTTATTGAAATAATATAAGAATGTGATTTATAATAATTTAGTATAATTTAGTATAATTTACTAAAGTTTTATTTCGATTATTTTATGTCTCGATTTTGGGTTTGTATTGTTGAGAATCTAACATAATAATGTTTTAAGAAAATAGTATCTAATATTTAAATCAAAATCATTTAAATTATGTAAGAGATTAAATTCTGAGTTTATATCTTTAAAAAAATACTCTAACATAGATAAAATTAATTTTTAGATATTACTAGTATTTAATTAAGAATAATTGTATGTTATATGAATATTCAAAGAACGATAAAAGCCCGCAAATATAATGCCACTAAAATATTGATATAAAAAAATATATAAATCTATATTAATTACGTTTTAAAAGTTTGATTTTATACATATTTAGATTTTATACATATTTAGATTTTTTAATTGAAACATTTATTACATGCACGCACACAGAGAAAAAGAGGAAGGAGGAAAGAAAGGGAAAAGAAAGAGAGATTCTCAACTACAAATTTATATTATTTGAAAGATTCAGATACAATACATTAGTATATTTTACTTTCTAACGTAAAATTACATTCATTATTTTAATTATATTAATAGAACAATCTATTATTTCTTCTTTTTTTTTTTAATATTAATTTTACAGACAAATTTAATTAAGATGGCTCTAAAAATAGAACATCAAGAAATAAAAAAGAAACTGGAATATAGTGCAACATATATAATATAGAAACGGTAAAGCAAGATGATAGAAACGTAATAGAATTATTCCAGTTGATTATGAGTAATCCCATTTCTTTATAAAACTGCGATATAAAAATTGCGATGAATTTCACGATGTCTTGTTAAAATATTTTTATTATCCATTTTACCTGGTTTTATCTGTATTTATATTTGTACATATTACACTGCCTGATGCGGGAATTTTCAAGGCATGAATATCATCGATATTTCTAAACATTTGAAAAATAATAATATAAATACATATTTACACACAAAGTAAAGAGATAATATATATAAAGATTTTTATACTTTAGCATTGCATATACATAATATTTTGTAATATTTTAAGTAAAAATATTACAAATTAATTAAAATATAAAATAAGCAAATTAAATATAAAATAAGCAAAAGCTTTGATGTTACTTACCCAATGAGATGTTGGCTATTTGAACTAGCATAATAAACATTTAATTCATTTGGTTCATCATCAAGCATTGATAAATCAACAGTTTCTTCTTTATCTGCAAAGTTTACTGCTACATAAATTACTTGTGTAAATGTACTATTAGAAAATCTCCTGTAATGACAAATACAAGCTTTTGTTATCTGGTTTTAAATATGTATTACGTGTTATTTCAATAAAAAAATTAAATATTAAAAAATTGTATACATAAATAATATAAAGATTATTTGATGTACAGGATGTTTCAGAATGGATGATTAAACTTTAGAAATATATTCCAACTTTAAGAACATATTTACTGTAAAAATAAAAAAAAAATCATATGTACATGGGAAACACTGTCTTTCCAAATTATAAACAATTTTTACTTATAATAAACAATATCTCATATCGATCTCTCTTGATTATCTTTCTATTTACCTGCTTTTTAATTGCATTCGAGAATTTCTGAACAATAATTATATCGATAAATGGATTGATAGAGGCAAATCAATCGCAAGCTTCGCATGTTTGCCCGATTCTCTTGGATTTTTATTTATTAATATCTTAAAATTCTCGTTTATGATATTCCTATTATTACTGTAGAAGTAATAACAGGAAATCGTATATTATCGTTTTGTCTGAGAAAATATAAAATACTCTGAGAATTTTTCTTGGACATCTTTGATAATCCATGAGACGTCCATACGAAGCATATATTAGTGTAATTGGAAAGAAGTCATTTTCAATAATTTTCTTAATGAAATGAAGATTCTTATCAATAATTTCCAATAATTTTCTTGATAAAATATTAAAGTCTGTTATAAATAGTGTTTGTAATTCAGAAAGAAATCGTTTCCAAACCCCCATTTTTATGATCTTTTTTTCCTTACCTAAATAGGCTTTTAAAGTTTGGCTACATATTTTTGAAACACTTTATATTATATATATTTATATTATATATATTTTTATTTGTCCTACCTAGTAAGAGAGAGAACATTATTGTTCAATAATCTCGTGGTCAAAGATCCAAATTTAAATGCCGGCTTTTTTCGTAAATCAGACGTTCTTATATATAACTTATAGTAAGAGTTGTGGGTATTGCCTTCCTTTTGTGCGGCTAAATTAAGTGTCAGATAATTTTTATTAACTGGCAGCCATGTCTTCGGGTTTGTAGAGAATCCTAAAATTATACATAAATCAGATTTTTTAGCAAACAGATTCTATAATCATGTACATCGCGTTCAAATAATCATACTTCCGACTATTACATATAATATGATATAATTTCTCAATATTATTTTTTCAATACTACAAGTGATAAATATAAAGTAACGATAATATGTTATAACACTATCAATAAGCAATCTATTTTATCTTGAATTTTCTATTCAATTTTTTTCCTAATCCTAAGATATAACATAATCTAACAAATATGTCGTTGATTTTTAAATATGTGAGTTATACTCGTGACATTAAGACTTCTGATGACTGTTCAGCAAGGAATTCCGCATTGACAGTGACGATACGCGTTTTGTTTAATACAAATTAATGTTTTGTTTAATACAAATTAATTTTATTGTAAGCGATTTTATTATGAGATACTTACAATTAATGGCTATTTATTGTCAAATTAATCGTTAACCGATTTTCGAAGAAAAAAAATCTACCCAGAAACGTTATGGCCAAGTGATACTTAACTTTATCGATATTAAAGTTTAAAAAATATTCTTTTGTTATAAAATCTCTCAATAAATTTACAAAATGACAAGCGATATATCTTTCTATCAAATATAATTCAAATACACTATTACTTTTAATAATAAAAGAGCTTTAAATGTTGTAGTCGATTTAATTTCATAAACTGTTTCCATGAATTTTTATAATTATGTAAAGTGCTTTCGGCAGAATTAACTTAAATTATGTTTCAATGGACCTGATTCTAATTGATGAATAGATATAATAATTTGCTTGGGTAATTCATACCAGCCGAAGTAGTATTATCCCATTGGAATGGGGTTCTAGCGGGATCTCGGGATGCTTTCTCATAACCCTCTTTGCCAGCATTGCAACCTTGCGGATCTTTGGTGTCTTCCCATGAGATCCATGTATCTTCCATTCCGATTTCTTCACCGTTATAAGTTACACCTATTCCCGGAAGTAGAAGAGTCATCATAGTTACAGATTCAGCTCGTTGCCGTCCGTAACGAGTGACTAATCTTGATTTATCATGATTTCCAGCCTGCAGAATAATATTTCACGAAATTATGTTGTCCTTTTAATTTATGCGTTAAGAATGTATTACAAATTGAATTAATTCCCGACAATATCAGACAATGTTCAATAATATCAAAAATTTATATGAATACTAAATTATAATCCTTTTATTCAATTTTTATTTCAAGTATTTATCAATTTATCAATTTTTATTTCAATTTATTATGTAAAACCGAGAAATACCAATATATTACTGATATATTTTTTATATCGCTTTTAATATCTGATTTAAAAATCAAAGCGAATGAACTTAATGTCTTATTGCTAGATATAAAACATCACGGCCTTTTTATTAAAAATGAATGATTAAAGTTATAATATTAATTCAAATTTATCGGAACGAAGAAATTATATTTAAAATTGATCTTTTTCAGATATGTTTCTCTTGTTTAAGTTAATACTTACCACCCAATTAGGAGTTCCTCCCAAAACAGGCATGTTCACCATCCATTTGTCGATCAGTCTCTTGAAATCGCTTGCTTTCGAATCTCGATTCGTATCAGTGATCAAAGCAAAATTGAAGGGAAAGTGTGCACCATATATATAATATTTCATTGTCATCGTCATGTTTGCGTAAGCTTCGATCATCATAACTTTTTGGTCTTGGTACTCATCCAGTACTTTTCGCCATCCTTTGACTATTTCGTAGGTTCGCGGCTGATCTTTTGTGTATATTTTATCTGTGTAACCGTAATCATTAGGATTTGGGTTACCCGTGAGTGGCTCGTCCAAGAATCTAACGTCCTCACACAAATGTGGTACCGCATCTATTCGAAATCCATCCACTCCCTTATTGAGCCAAAATCTTAAGACATCCTAAGAACAGAAATAAGAGAATAAAGTGTATAATACATACTGGAATGAAGTTTTACATATCTCTTCCAGATTTACATATTCGTTTAAGTGAATTGAAT